CAATTGTGCCCTCACGCAGGAGGGTCTGAATAAACTAACTAGCTAAGCTAATTAACTAACTATTACAAACCCAAATGAAATAAATTAACTAAACTATTAATTATTACAACAACAAAATAAACAACTAGTCTAGAAATAATTACAACACAAAACTAACTAATTACTTACAAGACAAAATTTAACTAGCTACAACTATTTAATTACAGCAACATGAATTAACCAAGCAATTAATCAGCCCCGGGAAGCAAGGAATGTGTATGTATGCACGAATTTCCACCTGAAAAAGCCACTATTCTGGTGCCAGATGCCTCTGTTGTGCAGTTAGAACACTTGTACTGTTTTTCACCTCAGAATCAGCTCTGTTCTATTTCAAAAAGGGCACTGCTTGGTTTTGCAAAAAGTGGCCAGCAGGCCAGAAGTAGTGGCCGACCGGCCACCAAAGATAGCCTGCCGTCTAAAAAAATTAGCCAGCCGGCCAGAAAAAGTGGCCGGCCGGCCACTGGAGCCGGTTCTTCCTGCTGCAACAGAGAGCAAACAGAGCACAAGTAGGGTATTCTCAAGGGATGTTTGTACAATTTACCCCTCTTTATCATCAAACAACTCAAAGGAGTGGTAAGTTTGATTCACAAATCATCAATCGATACAATTTCATTGCATGATGGCCTATGAATCAAATGGTACAATTTCAATAATATGCACAAGAAAAGATTCTCAAACCCCTTCCCTATCATGGATTGATCAAGGGGAGTGGTTGACAATAACTCTTGAACCATTTTCATCACGAACAAGTATGAAACAACTCAAGACTCAACGGTTCAATTAATGTCCGATTGAACCCTAAACAAGTTATTATCTTACACCATTTTAGTCCAAATTTTATTACTCTATTTTAATTACCAACCATTCTTTAGTCCATTGAGTCCAAAAGTGATCATTAAGTCCTCTAATGGAAAGAGGTATCAAACCAAATGTTGTTTTAGTCATGAGAAAAGTGTCATGCCATTAGTAACAAACTCCTAAATGAATTAAACCATTAAGCACAATACTTTTATCTCAAACTTAAACAAGCACTTAGCTTGAAACAACTTTCAAAGCAAAGAAAAAGCCAAGAAAGGAGGGAGGTTGCAGAAGTGATTAGAGGTGATCACAAGTAAGGAAAGCAATAAATAGACACTATCAACTCAAATAAGTTGGTGTCTAATGCCTAAAACACCAAACCTATGAGGACAATTACACTACAAGCATGCAAAACAAAGGATAAACACCAAACCTATGAGGACAATTACACTACAAGCATGCAAAACAAAGGATAAATGCAATGAACAACTGAAAATAGTCCTTAAACTACCCTAAAACAGTCAAAAGAAGTGTTGGAATTCAGACAAAAATAGCTAAAAAAGTAAGCTACAACATGGAGCTATGTAAGCTAGTAAAAAACACAAGGAGGGGAGGCTAACCCCATCATTTTTGGGACTTCAAAACATGATTTTTGCCACAGAAAAGCCTCTGAAAAACAGTGCTAAAAAGCTCAAAACAAGATGGTGTAAGGTGGGAAACACAAGGGCAAAGGCTAGAGAAGCAAAGTGGAAAGAAAAGTGAGCCACCCCTCCACCCTTATTGGCCTTAAACCACAAGTTTTAGCCCAAAATTAAAGAGTTTATACAACCCAAAAATAGTAGAAAAATAATAGGAAACTAAGCAAATAAAACAATGAGACAAGCCAAGCCATATACCTCTGGAAGAGGAGAACACTTTTAAGCAACAAATCAACACCTACACACCCTCAAGAGCTCAAAGTACGCTCAAAAGTACCTTAGCTCAAAGACCACAAGGTTTGGTTAAGAGTGTATAAGCAAAGGTTCAAGAACTAGTAAGAGAAAGAGAGACCTGTCACTTATGACTTTCGAGTTTTGTCAAAGAGGGGAAACTGTAGACACCCCATTTTTGACCGACCTTGAGACTCAGACGTCACCATTTGAGCGCTCGGTGATATTGCATATTGTGCTCGTTCAGAAGTTTCAGAGTCTCGGCTGCAAGCCTTGCCTCCGGACTTCCGGACTCTTTTGTGCTTTGCCTCAGTTTGCGAACCAGGCTCCATTTTCTCTATTTTCTCTTCCCGAAGGGAGGGAGAGGTCTCATAGATCATCTCTCAGTGGCCATAGGCTACATTTTGTGGTCGTAGGTCGTTTTGCTCGTTTGGAGTCCGGTTTTCGATTTTTCGGAGCCGTTGGCCGTGTGCCTCGGTTCGGGACCGGTTAACTACCTCCGTTTGCTCCAGTTTTTGGCATGCATCTTATTTACTCCCTTTTGAGGGACACTGCGGTCCGAGAGACCAACTTCGTGGTCGGACACCACTTCTGGTGCCTAACAGCCCACTTCCGGGGCCCCGAACTGCGTGTTTTGGCTCCCGAACCTTCATTCTGCGTTTTTGGGCTCCAACCCGAACTTGAGTTAGTCATATTTTGAGGTCCTTTTCATGTTTTATTGAGGACCTTTGGCTGTTTGAGATCTCCTACTATCACTTGCCCCTTTATCTCCCTTTTAGGCCAATTTTGGGGGGAAATTTGAATTTCACTTCCCCCCCATTTTTCCCCCTCTTTTCCACCCTTTTGTGTCTATATAACAGATCCCCTAGCTTTGTTTTAGGAGTTAGAAAATTTTGATTTGGAGCTCTCACATTAAATCTCTCTCTCTCTCTCTCTACTCTAAGCCTTAAAAAAACCCTTTGATTCTTACACCATTTCCTCACCATCACCTAGCACCACACCACCACTCCATTCCAGCAGCTTGGAGGGTCTTCTCAGAGCTTAGGAGGCAGCATTTCTTGGTCCAAAAGGCTGTCAAAGATTAGTCTTCAAGGGTAAGTCCTCTTCTCCCCTTTTTGACCCTTTTCTTGGTTCACTTCTTAGCTCTTTGTGCTTGCATGTTGGGGCTCCGACCCTAACTTAAAATATCATTTTTTTGAGCTCTATTTCATGTTTGTTTAAGGGCCTCTCACTGTTTGAGGCTCCCTTTTTGCACTTGCTTCATTACCTCCTTTGTATGCCATTTTCTTGCATATTATTTTAGGCCTATATGTAAACTGTTTTGAGCTCTAGTCCAAACTGTAAAGAAGCTTATTTTGAGCCCTTCTTCAACATTGTTGAAGGGATCATCACTATTTGTGGCTTCCATTTTCCACTTGCCTTTATATCCCTCTTTTGGCCTCATTTTTGCATGATTTGTTAGCCCCTTGTGTTTGTGTTTTTGGACTTTGGTCCGAAGTATAAATGGCCTTATTTTGACCCCCTTTTCATGTTTCATTAAGGGTCTTTTACTGTTTGAGACATCCTTTTTGTACTTTGTGTTATAGCTCTCTTTTTGGCCTTGTTTTGCATAGTATTTTGAGCATGCTTGTGCACTGTTTTGGGTTTGATCATAAACTATAAAAGGTCATATTTTGGGCCTCTCTTCAACATTTTTGAAGGGCCCTCATCTATTTAGAGCCGACAACCATCACTTCCTTCTTTGTCTCCCTTTTGGCCCATTTTTGCATGCTAGCTTAGCCCCATTTGTGTTCGCTGTTTTGGCCTTCCTTAAAACTGTAAATATGCTTGTTTTTGGACTGCCTTGAATCTGTCTTCACACTTCATGTTCAAATAGCACATGTTTTGTATAGCTCTAGGCCAATGCGTATGCCTAGTTTTGCATTTCGGTTCTCATTCCATGCTTCGAGTGCCACGCTTTCATGTTTCGGGGCTGTTTTACATCACTTTTTGCTGCTGAAATTTGCATGCTAGTATTCCACGTTCCATGTTTTTCCATGTCTTGGTAGAGTGGCATTCGTTCCTTAGGATCGGTCCTCGGTTTGCGTGCATGTGTGCACGCATTTCGAGTGTCTCATTTTTCATCTCATGGCCTCTTATGTGAGTGTGGCTGAGGTCCACTCATGTTGGTGTAAGCCCATATTGCATTGTGTATGGCATTTCATTTCATAGCATTATGTATGCTAGGTTGTATGTTAGCGCATTGTGTATGCCATGTTATCTCATGCATCGTGTATGCCATTTCATAGCATTGTGCATGCTAGGTTGTATATTAGTCGCATTCATGCATGTCATGCATATTGCATTGTGTTTGGGATAGGAGTTAGCCCGAGCACGGGAAACGAGGGACGTTTCGTGCTTCGAGTGACGGAACGTGTCTCAATTCCTAATCACCGACACCTCGGATTATCCATGATGGAGTTTACACTACAATAAAAGTGGGTTTATGAGACGGAACTATTTGCGACGGCACACTTGCCGTCTCAAAAAGTCACTTTTTGCGTCATTTCATATTGAGTCGTGCAATTCGACTCCCCGACCATCATGCATCGAGATGCGTGATTGGTGGCACGAGGATCGAGGACTACACTCCCCGAAGAGTAGTCATGCATGCATATGTGAAAATACTTTGCCAAGCCCCTTTGTTGCTCTCTGTTGCAGCAAATCAGAAATCAGCAAAAAATATTTAAAATTTTAAAAATATTCACTAAAAAAAAACACGAAAGTCATTTTTTGAGACGGCATTTTCTGCCGTCGCAAAAAGTGACTTTCGTGTTTTTTTTTAGTGAATATTTTTAAAATTTTAAATATTTTTTTTAGATGCACCTTACTTAGATGTATCTAAAAAAAAAATTATGAAAAATATTTTTAAAAATTAATTTTTATATAAAAAAATGTATTGAATTATTGTATTTTTGGTATTTAATGAATTTTTAAAAGATTTTTTTTACAATTTTTTTAATTTTAAGGTGTATTTATGTTAGGTGTGTCTAAAAATTAAAAAAAATACTTAAAATATTAAAAAATTCAGTAAAAATAATATAACACGGAAAAGAAGAAAGTATAATTTTCTCAAAAGAGTTTTTGGAAAACTCTAACCTAGCATAGTGATTGTGATTTTGAGACAGCTTCATATATATACAGTCACAAAATGGTTTGAATAAATTCAACGGTATTTTTCTGTCGCAAAAAAAATTAAAAAAAACAATGTCGTCTTATTCTTTTGATGTAACATTTCTCTTTTCATTCATTTTTTCATCTTCCTGTCTCCTTGTCTCTATTTCTCTCACTTCTCTTTATCTCTTTCACTCATCACTCTTCTTTCTCTGTCTGTCTGTTTCTCTCTGTGTCTCTCGCCTATCTCCCTTTTCTTTATCTCTCTCATCTGTTTCCTCTCTCTATCTCTCTCGCTCATCTCTCTTCTCTCTATCTCTCCCATTTCTTTTCTCTCTCTCTCTTATCTTTCTATCTCTCTCTATCTCTCTCACCCATTTCTCTTCTCTCTCTGCCTGTCTCTTTTTTTGTGTCTCTCTCTCGCTCATCTCTTTTCGCTCTATTTCTTTCTCTTTTTGTCTATCTCTCGCTCATCTCTTGTTTCTCTCTCTCTCTTTCTATCTCTCTCTCTCTCTATCTCTTTCTCTATCTCTTTTTCTGTCTATCTCTCTCTCTCTTTATCTCTCTCTCACTCATCACTCTTCTCTCTCTCCCTCTCTCTCTACTTGTCTATTTATCTATTTCTCCCTCACTATGTTCGTCTTGCTCACTTTCTTACTCTTATCTTCTCTATTTATCGAGCTCCTTCTCGATTTATCGATCCACTATAAACGACGTCGTCTTACTCTTTTGAACATTTCTCTTTTCACCCATTTTTTCATCTTCCTATCTCTCTGTCTCTGTCTCTCTTCTCTTTCTCTCTCTTACTCATCACTCTTCTCTGTCTGACTGTCTCTCCCTTTCTTTATGCGTCTATGTCTCTCTTCTCTCTCTCTCTCTCACTCATCACTCTTCTCTGTCTGTCCGTCTCTCTCTTTCTCTCTGTGTCTCTGTCTCTCTTTTCTTTCTCATTCTCACTCATCACTCTTCTCTGTCTGTCTGTCTCTCTCTTTTTCTCTGTGTCTCTCGTCCATCTCTCTTCTCTCTATCTCTTTCATATATCTTCTCTCTCTGTCTCTCTTCTCTCTCTCTTCTTTTTTTTTTCTCTCGTTCTCTCACTCATCTCTTTCTGTCTCTCTCTCGTTTATCTCTTTTCGTTATGTTTTTCTCTCTCTGTCTCTCTCTCTTTGTCTATATCTTTTCACCCATTTTTTCATCTTCTTCTCTCTTTTTTCTTTCTCTCTCTCATTCATCACTCTTCTTTCTCTGTCTGTCTATTTGTCTCTCTCTCTCTCTGTGTCTCTCATTCATCTATCTCTTCTTTTATCTATTTTCTCTCTTTGTCTCTTTCGCTCATCTCTCTTCTCTCTATCTCTCTCACCCATCTCTCTTCTCTCTATCTCTCTCATCTCTCTCTCGCTTATCTCTCTGTCTCTCTCGTTCATCTCTTTTCTCTCTATGTCTCTCTCGCTCATCTTTCTTCTCTCTATCTCTCTCTCTGTCTCTCTCGTTCATCTCTCTTTTCTTTCTATCTCCTTTTCTGTTTTTCACTCTCTATCTCTTTCTCTCTCTCTCTCTCTCTCCCACTGTGTTCGCGTTGCTCACTCTCTCCCTTCCGTCTTCTCTATTTACTGAGCTCCCTCTCGATTTATCGATCCACTACAAGAAAATGCAGTTTTAGCGATCACTTTGTCTCTCTCTCGCTCACCACTCTGTCTCTGTTTCTCTCTCTCGCTCTCTCGCTCTCTCGCTCTTTCGCTCTCCTCTATCTGTCTCTCACTCATCTCTCTTTCTCACTACCCATCTCCTCTACCACCTTCACCACTACTGCAAACGCCATTTCACTACCACCACTACTACCACAGTCACCATTTCACCTCTACGACTACCATTACTACTACCATCACCACCACTCCACTACCACCATTGCCACTACTACTACTACCATTACTTCTCTTTCACCCCTGCCACTTCATCTACTCTGCCACTACCACAACTTCACCACTAATCTCCTTCGCCGCCACCACCACCACCACCACCATCATCATCTCTTATCCACCACCTTTACCACTACTGCCGCTTCCTTGCCTCTACCACAAAATATTACATCTCTTCTCTCTCTCACTCATCACTCATCACTCTTCTCTGTCTGTCAGTCTTTGTCTTTGTCTATGTCTCTGTCTCTTTCTCTTTCTCTCTTTGTCTCTCGCTTATCTCTTCTCTCTATCTCTATCATCTCTCTTTTTCTTTCTCAATTTTTCTATATATCTCTCTCTATCTCTTTCTCTCTCTGTCTCTGTCTCTCTATCTTTATATCTCTTTCTTTCTTTGTCTCTCTCTCACTTATCACTCTTCTCTCTCTCTTTCTCTCTCTATGTCTGTTTGTCTGCCTCTCACTCTTCTCTCTCTCTCTCTTTCTCTCTATGTGTATGTCTGTCTATTTGTCTCTCTTCCCCATTGTGTTCACCTTGCTCACTCTCTCTCTCTCATCTCTTCTCTATTTACCGAGCTCTCTACTACAAGAAAATGCACTTTTCACGACCACTTTGCCTCTCTCGCTCATCACTTTGTCTCTGTCTGTCTCTCTCTCCCTCTTTCTCTATCTCTTTATCTCTTTTCTCTATCTGTCTCTCATTCATCTCTCTCTCACCACCCATCTTCTCTACCATATTCACCACTACTACAAATGCCATTCCACTACTACCACTACTACCACTATTGTCACTCCACCTCTACAACTATCATTACTACCACCATCGCTACCACTCCACTACTACCACTACTACTACCATTACCTCTCCTCCACCACCGCTACTCTATCTCCCCTACCACTACTACAACTTCACCACTTATCTCCTTCACCATCACTACCACCACCACTATTACCTCTTATCTACCACCTTCGCCACTACTGTCACTTCCTATCCTCTACCACAAAAAATTAGTTCTTGATTTTTAGTAAAAAAAAAAAAAAAAAAGAATTGCAAAAAATTATTTTTCATTGACCACAAAAAATTAATTTTATTTTAATGGAAAATATTATCCCTACTTCTATCAAATTAAAGAAAAAAAAAATTATTCAGTAAAATAAATATGAAACAAATAAATTTTCAACCTTACTAAATGAAACAAAAAAAATTCATTAACTATAAAAAAAATTATTTTAATAAAAAATATTTTTTTGACTACGGCATCTTCTGTTGCAAAAAAAAAAAATCATTTTATTATTTAAATATTCATTTGTAATGAAAAAAAAAATCCAAAAAAATTTCCGTTCCCCCCTTTTTCCATTCCCGCTTGGGTTCCCCCACTCCAAACCCAAAATCCCCAATCTCAAAAATCCCTAATCTTTTCCCCCCCTCCTCTCTTGTTTCATTCCCACTTGGGTTTCCCCCCATCCCAAACCCAAAATCCCCAATCTCAAAATCCCTAATATTTCTTACGTCTCTCTCTCTCTCTCTCTCTCTCTCTCTCTCTCTCTCTCCGTCTTAATTTGTTTCAGATGCTGATTTGGATGATTCACGGTCGAGGAGGAAGAGGAAGAGCAGGAGTTCTAGGCGTAGAAGTAGGAAATCAGAATCAGTCGGTGATAGTGAATCGGATGAGTTGAATCAGGGTGCTGATGCTTGATCTTCATGTATGTTCACTGCTTTCCTTTCATTGTTTGTTTCTTTTGTATTTTTTGTCATTTGGATGTAGGAGGAATATCAATATGCTTCTATGTTTGATAAAGTTGAGCTTATTACATGCATAAATTTGTTTTTAGGGTTGTTTGATTTGTTAACTTTTCATCTTTGATTATTTTGCTCCGTCCATTTTGTGTTTTAGTATGTGAAATAGTTTTGTTTTTCGTTTTTCTGGGCAGAACAATTCAGATGGAAAACGAATGAAACTATCCAGATCGAGAGTTGAAAATGGTGGCTCAAACTCAAAGTCAAAAATGGAATCAAATTCAGGGCAAGGAAACATGGCAGCTGAGAAGCATACAAAGCCGAGTGAAGAGCCTAATAAGCAAGATTATATCCATGTGAGAGCAAGAAGAGGTCAAGCTACTGATAGCCACAGTTTAGCAGAGAGAGTAATTTCTCTTCAGAGTTGTTGGAATTGCTATTTATCATTTGTTGAATTTATTTGTAGATTTCTGTTTGCATATTGAAACTTGTTGTTTGTTAGGCTAGGAGAGAAAAGATCAGTGAGAGGATGAAGATTTTGCAACACTTGGTTCCTGGATGTAATAAGGTAATCAAAATCATTTGTCTATTTTCGTTAAATAAAATTGGCACAAAAAATAATATTTTAGTCATGAAACTCAATAATGTAGGTGTATAAAAAAATGTCTAAAATACTCATTTCCATTGAATTTAATGACTAATGTACACTTTTCTAACAATTTTACTTAACAAAAATAAATAAATAGTTTAGATTGAAAATAAATCAAAATATTGAGGTTTGAATTGATAAGATTAAAAATTCAGAATTTATTTTGTTAAAAGGCTTAAATCTTAAGGGTTTTTTTGTAATGATCCTAGCTTTTTTTTAAAAAAAAAAATTAAAAACTTTTCATATTCAAGCCTCACTAGACTAGACAGATCTAAAAACTAATATATATATATATTGGGAAAAAAATCCACTAAAAAAAATTAAAAAGCTAGGGGTTTTTTTTTATAAAAAAAAATCCACTGAAAATTTACTTTTTAGATTCCTTTAAATTAGACAGACTTGAAATAAAATAAAATAAAAAAGTTTGAAAGTAAAAATTAGAACTTTTTATAACAAAGATACTCCCCAATTTGACTATTCCTCTCATAGCTTCTAAGTCACTTCTCTTCTTTGCAGGTTCCTCATGTTACTTGTACTGATTATCAACTGATTGATATTTCTGAAGATGGTTTTGTAAGTAATTTCGTGTGAACATCTTGAATATTTCTGAATCCAATGGATCTCACTGGATTAATTATTGGTAGATAAAAATGCCATGTAATTTAATTGGGTTGCTATAGACATTTGGAAATTTAGACTTGTTATTATTCTATTGACAAGAGATGATGTTGACAGCAATATTTTGTGTTTGTAATTTTGGCCATGGGTAATTTCCGCTGTTTTATTAGTGCTTTGTGTCCAGCCAAGAACTATCCATGTCTCTTTGTTAGAAATGTGTAAGATTTTATGTTATTATTCAGAACTTAATAAGTTTGGATGTAGTAACTTCCATTTTCAGATCCAGCTTTAGGCTTTACCTGTTAGGGGTTGCCACAATTTTTGAATTGTAAACCAAATAAACTTTGATCTGCAGGTGAGTCTTTTGACTGAGAATGGTAACACCAAGGATGACTTGAAGCTTCCCACCGATGAAAGTCTGCTCAGACAGGTACACAAATGTTTTGCATTCTTCAAAATGCAACCTGTGCACTCTAAATATATTTTGAAATATTAGTAAGATGAATACATTGTATTTCAATATTGCTTTGCATAATTTAGAAGCATTGTTACGTCAATGATATCTTGATTTTTAAGTTATTGAATAAATGACTTTTTAATTTTAATTACTCCAGTGTTATCTCATTTTTTGTTCATTATCTTTGAATAAACTATTTTTATATTTGGCACACAACAAAATTAAAAAAAAATAAAAATAAAATATGTATCCCAGGCATATTGTGATTTGTATTTTTTAAAAATCACTGAGTCGGTATGTTTGTGTCATGTACAGATTGTGTCATTCGTCTTTGTCTTTGTGCATTGAAAATTTAATGCTGCCCTTCAATAGTCCACAATTAATATTATGTTCTTTACTTTATATTTATTTGTCTGTGCTTTGTGTGTTCAAATTAAAGATGGGTTTGCTGAAGGGAAAGACCTTATTGTATTAGTTATGTGTGCTATGGGGGAAGAACAGATCAATGCCCTCAAGGACATTGGCCCAAAGAACTAAAATTCTTGGGGTCTCTTGTATAATGTCTACGCACATATTATTTATATAAATGATCTAATAATTGGATTAAAACCACCCTAAAATTCAGAGACTCTTTTCACTTAATTCGTCTGTTACTCATCAGATAATGCTTTGGATTTACTAACACCCACGAAACTACAATCGATTGTCTATCTGATCCCTAGATTTGCTTCTATTCCAAGGTAAACAAAGCCTCTGATTTTTGAAATCCGATTCACAAGCACTATGTTTTCTTGACTTTCTTGTTTTTTTGATTACTATTTGTTTAGTGTTAGATCGGATGGCTGAAGGGGGAGTTCAATCTCGTTATGTGAAGCTGACCAAAGATCAAGGGCCTCGGAGGATATTAAGCCTGAAGAAAAACATTTAATTTTGATTTATGTTATTTTGAATTATGAACAAAATCATGTATTTAAATATTATATATGTATTATGAAACATTATGTAGTGGGATAATTTTGTTGATGTGTAATTATGAATGGAAGAATGTTTTATTATGAAGAAATTGTTATTTTTATACTGGAATTTTTATATTATTATGGAGAAATTTTAATATTTTTAATAATTTTATCGGAGATTTTTTTTCTTTTTTGTGACGGCACTACACCGTTGCAAAAAACAGAAAATTTTATTATTTTTATTGATTTTGTTACAGGTTTTATTTTTTGTGACGACACTAAATTGTCGCAAAAAATAGATATTTTATTATTTTTTAATACTTTTTGCGACGGTTGTACATTGTCGCAAAAAAATAAATTTTTTTATATTTGTAATACTTTTTGCGACGGCACCACACCGTCGTAAAAACAGTATTTTTTCCGTTGCAAAAAAAAAGACTATTAGTGACGGCATTTTTTGCTGTCTCAAATAACATTTTTAGCGACAATAAAATAGTGCCGTCGCAAAAAGTCAAGAAATTTCAAACACTATTAGCGACTGCAAAGTGCTGTTGCAAAAAGGCAAAAATGCCGTCGCAAAGCATTAGCGACGGCACTGTGCCGTCACTAAAACTATTTTGCAACCCCCGCATTTGCGACCCCCACTTGCCGTCGCAAAAAGTTTTTGCGACGGCATTAAGAGTATTAGCGACGGTATTTTACCGTCGCAAAAAGTCAATTTTTTTGTAGTGTTAGGTTTTGTTGTATTTATATGTGCATTCATTTCATATTGAGTTGCACAATTCGACCCCTCGGCCATCATGCATCGAAATGCGTGATTGGTGGTAAGAGGATCGAGGCATGCATATATTTGTGAAAATACATTGCCATGCCCCTTTCCTACTCTCTGTTGCAGCAAATCAAGAATCAGCAGTCTTTTGGGGCTTGGCGGCTTTCCAAAAAATATTGCAAAACAGAGGCTAATTGGGGCATCACAGTGGATTTCCGTGCAAAAGGCGACCCGGACATGTATCATCCATCATCTGAAGAAGAGTCAAGGCAGTCCCTGGCTTGCATGCCAGTTTATTGTTTTCTTAGTTAATTTGATAATTAATTAGGATTTTTTTTTTATTTTTGCAAATATTTGGACTGTATTATTTGGGACTGTATTATTCTTTCGGACCCTCTGCGCGAGGGCAATGTTGTAATAAGTGTGCGTGTGTGTGATGTATGCCTTCCAACCCCACGTCTTTCTCCATTTTATTTACCCGCTTATGATGGTTAAATTAGGGCATGTTTCAATTAGCATACAGTATGATAGCATGTTTGCATTCATTCATCTGTCTTGCATGCACCAGGCTCGGCGCATCATACTAACTGCATTATATTTTCAATTCCAAGTTGAATACATGTTAGCTGTAGTATTTCATATGTCATGTTTAGAATAGCCGAGCCTGCTATAGTTGCACTTTTGCATGTGTTGCATTAGGCATTTCTGTATAATTAGGATCATGCATGGATTTTTTCTAATTAGCTTTCTGTTTTGGTCTTTGGAGTTACTTGGTAAGTTTTTATGCTTTAGCATCCTTGCAGATGGTGTGAGTGACTGCATGAATTGGACAATGCTTACCTGAAGGGCTAATTGCTTATGTGATATTAAATACTGCCTGAAGCCTGTGGGTGAAGGTTGGGTTTATTTGAATTGGAACAATTCATCAAATGTAGTGTTTTAAAAGCCCACGTAGGATAGTGGCACAAATTATGTTTTTTCCTAAGCCCACCCGAGGGTGGCAAATCGGACGTCTTAGCCTACTTGCGAGTAGACCATCAAGACCACTTTAAAAAAATAAATCGAAATGTTTTGTTCCAATTCAGACGATCCATCTATACTTGTATGTGTGCGTATCAATAGTAATACAAGGCTAATAACCGGAATGAAGAACGCATAATGTTTTTCAAAAAAATAGATATCATGGTTAGTTAGGGCTGATCTTTGATCGGGCGAGCGGGGGTGCTCATAGCTGACCTTCCCCAATCGTATCCAAGTTCCCGAGCCGAGGTAACTTTGGTGATGACGGACACGTGACCTTAGGCAAACGAGTCAGGGTTTCCTAAATTTCCTCAAAATAAAACATTTAGGTGGCGACTATGTATCTGGCAAAGCAGTCCATGTTTGGCACTTCTTTCAAAAATTTGTTTTCTCAAAACGATTTGCCGGATTTGGACTCTTTGGTTCAGATTAAAAACCGTGACAATTGAGAGTCCTAAGCTGTAGTAACCCCAATATCGAACGGAACGGGGGACTCGTTCCTCCCCGGGGCGTTCGGGGGACGTCTACAATATGTCTGAGGTGGTCTCATGTTTTTCTATATATAGAGGACCCTCTCTCACATTTTGAAAGGTTAGAAAAATTTGGGAACAAAAATATTTCTCTCTCTATAATTCTCTCTCTCTCTCTTGCAAGTTCTTTACTCCTTGTCTATACACTCTAAACCAAACCTTGTGATATTTGTGCTAAGGTGTTTTTAAGCTTGCATTTAGCTCTTGAGGGTGTGTAATTGTTGGTTTGTAACTCAAAAAGGGTATCTCTTTTCAAGAGGTATAATTTTTAACTTGTTTCCCTTCTTTATTTGCCATCTTTTCTACTATTTTTGGATTGTTTTTACACTGAATTTCTGAGCTGAATCTTATGGTTTAAGGCCATTAAGGGTGGAGGGGTGGATCACCCTTCTTTGCACCTAACTTCTTAAGCCTTTGCCCTTGTGTTTCCCACCTTTCTATTATCACTTTTTTGAGCTTTTTACTACTGAATCTCAGAGGCTTTTCAAAAGCTAAAATCATGTTTTGAAGTCTTAAAAATTGAAGGGGTAGCCTCCCATTCTTGTGCTTGTTTACTCGCTTAACTTGCTCCATGTTGTAGTTTACTCTTTTAGCTCTTTTGACTTCAATTCCAGCACTGTTTTAGCCTATTTTAGGACCTTTTTTTATGTGTTTGTTTCAATCATGCTTTGTATTGTAGGCTTGTAATGTAATGGTCCTCGTAGGCGTGGTGGTTTAGGCCTTAGCCACCAACCTATTTGAGTTGATAGTATTTATTTCTTGCCTTCCATACTTGTATTCATCTCTCATCACCTCTGCAACTCCTCTCATTTCTTGGCTTTTTCTTTTTTTTGAAAGTTGTTTCAAGCTAATTGCTTGTTTAAGATTGAGATATGGGTATCATGCTTAATGGTTTAATCTCTTTAAGGGTTCATTACCAACAGCATAGTGTCTCTCTCATGCCTAAAACAACTCTTTATTTGATGATCTTTTCCATTAGAGGATGTAAAGCTCATTATTAGACACAATTGAATTAAGGAATAAAAGGTAATTAAAATGAAGTAATTAAATCAAGACTAAAAGTGATGCAAGATAATAAAAGGTTTTGTGTTCAATCAGACATTAATTGAATACATGGAGACTTGAGTCATTTCATACTTGTCAAGTGATGAAATGGTTCAAGTTTCCAAGGTCAACCACTTCCCTTGATCAATCCATGATAGGGAGGAGGTTTTGTTAGTCTTTCCTTACCATTTATTAAAATTGTGACCTTTGATTCATTAGTCATCATGCAATGCAATTGCATTGATTGATAGCTTGCGAATCAAGCCTACCCCTCCTTTGACCTGTTTGTTAATAAGGAGAGGCAGGGTGGACAAACATCTCCTGAGAATACTTTGGTTTGTGCTCTATTTGTTCTCTATTGTTGCAGAAAAGAACCAACATTAGTGGCCGACAGGCCACTTTTACTAGACAACAACCCACTTTTAGTGGGTGGCCAACCACTACTTCTGGGTTGTCGGCCACTTTTTCCAAGCAGACAGTGTCCTTTTTCCAGTAGAGTAGAGCAGAGGTTGAAGTGAAAAATAGTGCAATTTTCTAACTATGCAACAAAGGCATTCTAGTAGCTAAACGGAGAGCATTATCAGGTGAAAATTCACATCCATACGTGAGCCATCCCTCGATCCTCGGGATCTGTAAAATGATGTTGTAATATTGGCATGTTATGCTTAAAGTAGCGAGTTTGTAACTAATTAGTTAGAATAACTAGTTAGTTTTGTGTTGTATTTATTTAATTAGTTAGAGTAGTTAGTTAAATTTGTTGTTGTAATAATTAGTTAATTAGCTAGTGTAGTTAATTTATTTCATTTGGTTTGTAATAATTAGTTAATTAGGTAATTAATTAGCTAGTCCATTTATTCGGATCCTCTTACGCGAGGGCAAGTATGTAATATTTGTGTATGTCTTCCAACCCCACGTCTTTCTCCCTTTTATTTATCTGCTTATAATGGATAGTTTAGAACATCATATTTCTTTTAGCATTTCCCATGTTTGCATTCACTTGTCTTGAATGCATCAAGACTTGGTTCATCATTTTAAACAAAGCATTGTAGTTTACATACTTCGTTGAATATGTGTTTAAACCGCATGCTATCAAGTTATTTCAAATGACATAACTAGTAGCCAAGCTTATTAGTTGCATATCGTATGTGTTGCATTAGTCATATTGCATTAGTTAGGAACATGCGTTTTTCTAATTATTTTACTTTGTTTGGCTCACCTTGGAGTATTAGGTGAGCATTTTTGCTTTAGTATATTGCATGAATGTGGTTATTGCCATGTCTAGCATACTTACCATGAGGCTAATTGCTTAAGTGCTAAATCTCTTGAATGCCTGTGGATGAAGGCTAATTGCTTGAATTGGAATAATTTGAGTAATGCATATGAGATCACTTTTTCAAGTGGTACATATTCGAAACAATTTTCAAAACAAACATGAATCAAAGTGTTTCAATTTATGC